CGACAGGGGTTAATCGGGGTCACAAGGGATACTACTATTATAGCTAGAGTCTATTAAGTTGTTAGCAGGACTTATGCGCTTAGTAGCCTTTATTAAAGTGTTCTAAAGCTTTATAAGAGGCAAGGCATTTTAATAAGGTTAGGTCTTTAGTTATTTATTCTTAATTAGATATAGTTTCTTAGTCTATCTTACCTTATAAAAGGGCGACTATACTTAATACCCTAGCTATGTATAGACTATATAATAATAGTAATTTGTAGCCTCTTTATTAGGACACTCCTTAGTGCTATAAAGAGCTACGTAGTGCCTATAATATATAAGTTATTTATATTACTTGCTTAAGTATTTATAATCTTAATAATTATAGTACTAGGTTAGGTAGTTATATACAAATTATTTATAATACTTAAGCTTAATAAATTATTATAAACCCCTTAGTTAGTATTTAGTTTATTATCTTAGCGGTTTTTACCTTAACTAAGAGTAAGAAAAAGATCTTTTTATCTTTGATCGCCTTAACTAACTAGCCTATCTTAATAATCTTAATATCTTTATATAAGTTGTTGTTAAGCGCCTATAGCCTTTTAATCTCTTTTAGTTATTTAATAATGTCTACCTTATTTATTTAAATGCTATATATTATAACTATAAAGGTGTGCTACTAAAGCGCTGCTAAAGTCTCTACTATCTTGATTTATTCTGTATCTTTTAGGAGGGCAGCTTTTGCCTCCTTAGATAAGGCTATAACCTTAATATCCTTATTTCTTATTCTGTTCACCCTTATAAGTCTAAGGGCCGCTTTCTTAATCCTTTTTACTAGTTCCTTCACTTCCCTCTTACACACTATACGCTTCTCTGTTTCATCAGATATCTTGATTATGATTTCCTTCTCCTCTTTTCTAGGGGCGTTGCCTGTCTGTGCTAGGCAATAGAGGGCGGTGAGTCTCAGAGAGCACTGTGTCCCGTCGTCGGCTATGTTTCGCTTCGCCGCCACAGCGTATGACGCTTTCGGGGGGCGTGCTTCCCGGTAAGGGTTCGCCTGAGGTAGTTTCTGTTCCTTGATCTTCGTTAGCCTGTCCTCTATACTTTGGAGGATCGCCTCGGTAGACCTCGTTGGTCCCTTTTCCTTTCTCTAGCAGCTCTCGCGCTTCATATAGTATGTGCAACACCCGTACATCACTATCGCTATCGTTCTCTTTCTTTGCTAAGTAGTCTAAGATATTACTGATCGCTTTATTCTATCAAGTATTTATAATACCTCTAATATATATTATAAGCGGCTTTTATAACTTGGTTACTTATTATAATAATGTAATATATAATAGATTATTCTATTAAGTATACTCTTAGATAAAGGCTTTATATAATATGTCTTTAATATTAATTATAGCTAGCTTCTTTATAAGTTTCTTAGATAATATAAGTTAAAGTAGTCCCTTAAGATTATAATCCTAAAATAGTATTCTTTTAATAGTTTGCTTAAATTCTAGATAGAATTCAGAGAAGGGTTAGTATGTTTGCCTTATCTTTTAGGTTAGCATTACTAAAGTTAGGCTTTAATTCTTTAATTAGATCTACCTAATCTAGATAGATCTCTTTATTAATGTTATCTAAGGTGATGTCTAAGGCATGATTTATAAGTTAAAAGAATATATAATAAATATATAATATAAGTATAAAAAGTATTTATTAGTATTAATTCTGAATTTTAAAGTAAGGCTTACTCTAAACCTTTTTAGGTCTTTATAAGTATTAGGCCCTAGGCTACTAAATATAGAAACGTCTATAGTCTTTTCTAACTTTGTAAGTATATACTAGAATTATTAATTCTATTATAAGACTATAATTATTACTAATAAGATCTAAGCTATTAGGCCTTAAGTTAGATCTTAAGCTAGGTGCTTAGAGGGCTAGGGAATATAAATTAAAGCCAGGCTCTATATAAGAATAGATATATATAAGGGCTTATACACATTAGCTATATTGTCGTTAAGACGTATTCAGGCGTTAGCTATAGCTTCTGCAGATAGAAAGGACTCAAGGGATATCTTAGATTCTTCTAAGGGGGAAGGGACACAGAACAAGGTGAACAAGGGGGAGGCAGTGGGTCTTCTGCTGCCAGGGCTATGCAGACAGGGAACAATAACAAAAGGAAATAGGTTAAGGCAGACCTAATGACCAGAAGATATAAAGTGAGAGACGCTTTGTAGTGTAAGGAGAGCTATGGATGGGCCTAAATAACAAGACGAAGCGTAAGGAAAAAGAACAGAAGTGAGAAAGCAACGCTCTATATACAAGACCGTAACCCCTATCCTGTCATGGCCAGAGGAAGTTAGCTGCGGGTACCTGTGGTCAGTAAAGGCTAGGATGGCGGCGGGGAGCTGGGTCCGAGGTCGATGGCGCGGTGGCTCTGAGATGTTTTGAATGGGAGTCTTGGCATGCGGCGATAGGGTTTATAACAGTTATCAGATTCTTAATAGTAAGGATTTTAGTGTCTTTTTAAGCGCTAAAAAGTACTATAACCTTATTCAAAATTAATCTGCGAATAAGGGAGATTCTAAATTAATTTAGGGCCTTCTTAAAGCTCTTGATGACGCTAAATTCGTCTATTATTAGTGTATTAGCACTAAATATAATAATAAAGGCAAACTGATAGCTTAGTGACTTACTCAAATCTGGTTTACTTATCTAAAATAGCTTATTACAGCTCAGAGATTTGTTACTAATCAAGTTCTTATTATTAACAGTACCTTTAATACGAATAAGCTTCGCCTCCTATTACTTGCTGCTGTTAGTATAACGAATTCAGGAGCAACCTTCCCTGTGGCGTTTAGCTACTGCGCTTCAGAGAATAAGAAGTCGCTCAAATTCTTCTTCAACTGCCTTACTCACGAATACTTTAAATCTGAAGAAGAACAGTCATACGTCTATCACTTTCAAGAAAGCCAAGGTCGGACTTGGTCTTGGTAGATGAAACCACTATGTCGAAGATGACCATCCGAGCGTCGCGAGAGTGGAAGGCATCGCCGGTGATGGCTTCGGGAAGATCCTCAGAATTGCAACCAAGCCGACGAGCAAGATTGACTTTTTCCTTTTGGTATTCTATGATTTGCTCCGCGTAAGGTGAAACAATGACAACATCATTGAATGGGATGAACGGCTTTCCATCTGCAGTCTTGATGAACATATCCTCGAGGAATAGCATAGTTGCGGCAACATTGGCGAAGTTAACTTGTGAATGGTTTGGTCCTACATAGCATTTCGAAGCTGGCACATCAAGTAGCCAAGCATGCATGGACCAATCAAGCCATATTTTACGAGCAGCTATGTCTGTTCGGCCCGAAGGATCTCTTGACGGGAGGGGCAAATCCTTCTTGCCTCCAAGATACTTGCGTAACATGTTGAACTGTCGGTCTGACATTGGTTTTTCCAAGGCCAACAGCTGTCTGAACTTGCTTTCCGTAGCTTCGGTCTCTGCAGTGAAAGAATATTGCTGGATGCTGACGATGCTGAATACTGAATTCATCATATGGTACGCCGGAGTTGACGAAGCGAGCAATGAGGGGTGTCATGAGCTGCGGATGGAATTCATTGTACTCTGCACCAGTCACAAGTGGCCAGTTCTGGCGGAAGTCACCGCTCATAACGATACCTTTGATGGGATGAACGCCGCCAAACTCATCGCGAATGCGCTCAGGAGAGAAGATCGAAGTGTAAAGGGACCAGACGGCAGGCTCGTCGGCCATAGTGCATTCGTCGAGGAATAACATGACTCCTCTGGCGCCACGACCGAAGGAAGAGGAGATGGGGCTGCAGGTTACGTTATCCATGGTGCTGAAGACGACATTGGCTCGAGCGGTTATTTCATGGCTGAGCTCTTTGTACAGAAACTTGTACTTCTTGACTTCCATCTGGTTTAGACTAGCGAAGCCGTCGGTTACGATCTTGTCCAGGAAATTCTCACATTCGTCCATGAAGTCAACTTCGTCACTGAACTCACCGGATTTGGTCCCCAAAGCTCTTCCCGTAAATCCTTGTCGATATGCGGTAGCATACGCTTTGCAGGTGGATATTTTCCCTTCAACTCGAAAGGCCGAGGTTTGCTGCGAACCGCTTCGATGATGCGAGATGAGAGACCGTGTTCTGGATGTTTGAACGATCTTGTCCTACGCCTGTCCTTTATGGCGTCGAACAGGCTGTTGATGTCGCCTTCTTCTGTAGCGACGGCACTGATGTCCAAGCCATGTAATTCCAAATCTTGAAGAACGTGGGGAGTTTTGGGCATACCAGCACAGTTGAAGTGAGCTTGCTCCTTGTTAGGTGGAGCGACCTGCATAGCCCTCACATCTGGATCCTTTGCTGCGATGAAAGTGAATGCCTTATCATGCTCCTTGCGCAGGTGGCTGGTGGAGATGTTGGTCGGACAGACTGCAATTGACTTAAGGCCACATAAAGAATAGTACTTCATCAGAGCTATCTGTGTCGCTGTCTTTCCGGAACCTCCAGGACCGCCAATCAACATGACGCCTCCACCTAGTTGCGTAGCGGAGCTGATCTTGCGTTGCTGTTGAGTAGTGAAAGGACGGCCATTGATCTCGCCCTGAGACAGGATTCTATTCATAAGGTATTTCCGATCGAAGTCATTGAGTCCTGTGTTGCACGCTGTGGGGTCGATCATCTCCCATTTCTCCGGGTTCATGTTGAGGACAGGGATGAGATGCTTGTAGACGGGCTCGCGAGAAAGCTTGTACATGGATGCAATCTTGGTAACAGCTACACGAGAAGATGTATTGACCATGACTTTTGTGGTTGGCCAGAATTTGAGCGGACCATCCGAGCCAACACTAGAGTATTCGGCAACCTTTTCTGGAATTCTCAAGCACAAGAAAGCAAATGTGAAACCCCTAGGATAAATGGCAGGTACAGTAATTCCAGTAGCACGATAAGTTCTGTCGATATTGGATGTCTGGACTTTGAATTGAATCTCGAACGAATCAGTTGTAGGCATACACTTGAGCAACTCCAGGTCAAGTGCAGTGCCCTTGAAATCTGCCTGACAGAAGCCTAGAACATGTTTGTCGGAGATGATGCGGTATGCAACGCGGAACACATGACTGCTGTCAAAGCCGATGTACCGTTCTTGTTCATAATTGTTTTGGAGATCCGTGCTATAGCCTAGAACTATAGCGGCATGATCAGCTGATCGGAAATGATCAAGTGGCCCGACTTTGCCTATTGGATGATCTTCGTCTACTCGCTGATGGGGCTTCTGCTGAGACTTTTCCACAAGAGCTCGACCTTCGGCAGAATAGTAAGGGTAGAATGGTCTCTTGATGCCAGTTCGCTTCATCTCATTCGCAAGATCTACGATTTTCAAACTCTCCTCATCCTTTTCTTTCCCGCCCAGAGTGGAAATAAAGTGTAGTTGAATGTGAGAAGGGTTACGCCAACCTCGCATGATGTTGAGGAGTGCGATGGTAGAGTCGCGCCAGCCATGTCCTTCGATGAAATCAAGACCAGAAGGGAAAGTTCCTTCCGGCACAGTGTCAAATTCGACTTCAATCCAGCGCTTGGCGCTAGTTTTGCGTTCCTTGTAGACTTTGCTAACCTTTAGGTTCTTGTAACCGCGCATACGCTCCTGTTCATCGGACATTGGAAAATTCAACTCGAGCGTTGCGTTTGCACTCAGTGTCTCTAGTATTAGTATATGTGGGCTCAACTCTAGCTTCCAGCACAATGAAAGGAGCTAAGGTACCATCCTGACGTGAAGCCTGGAACACAGTAATATTGGCCTCACTGGATTCTTCAGCAGGATACCAGACTCCTTCATGTAAGACTTGAGCGCGAGTGTAGTGTCGATTGAAAGAAGGCTCAAAACCTGCAGGTAGTGTTGCTCGTGTGTGCTTGCTGAGGTGAATAAGAGTGCGGCTTCGTCCAGTGAAGTCCAAGTACTCATCGATCACCTCATCAGCCAGCAGTGCTGCATCGTCTGATTCCGGGAACTTGTCGTCCACGCTACGAGTGGTCAGTACATGGGGAGCAGCTCCAAAGCCTGCACCTTCTTTCGAGAAGGCATATCGTCTATGCAATCTGTCGATCATTTGGCGAAGATGAACTGGAATCAGTGGACGACGTATCATAACAGGCTTTCCGTCAGAATCAGTAGCGTCCGAGCCAGGCTTTGGTATCATGACATCTGAAGAGTTTGGTTAGATCATAGTATTATGTTGTAGAGAAGATGCCATCTTACCTCCCTCACTGAGGATTTCAACACGTCGGAACATTGGCTTTGGTGTCTCCTTTCTGAGTTGGTCCTGTGCCCATTTTCCGACACTCCAGCACAGCGCCACGGTACGTTTCTTGCCAAATTTGCCATACCACTTACGTTTGGGTTCAGTCTTGGATTTCGACTTGACCTTCGTCTCGACTGATTTGTCGCCCATAGTAATAGGCTTTGAGGAGTCTTTCTTCTTGAGACCTTGCTTTGACTCGTCTTCAGTATTAGTTGTGACCTCTGGACATTCCGTTACAGCACTGTCTTTGTTAGGTTTGTCTGGCATGCTAGACTTGCTGGACTTGTCAACCATGTCAGGTTGGTCAGATATGTTAGGTTCCTTGGGCTTGCTGGACTCGATAGGCTTGACAAGACCAGTTGACGTGGATGCCATGGTAATAATGACTGAAGTGAGAGTAAGGTCAGTGAAAAAGGAAGAAACGTAACTTCGCTTGAAGCTGAGTAGGTTGCGGCTTACCAATAAGACTGTGTAGGTGTATTAGTATGAGCAAGATTGGATGATGTTAAGGGTTGTTGATGGTTGAGGATTTTGTTGTGATGTAAAAGATTGGAAGTTGTGAGGTGCAAGCCAGATACTATAGTCGAGTGTGACCTGAAAATTTAGCTTGAGGTTTAACCCTCCTGCCTGGAGCTGTGTAGTGTTGGGCAAGACCGCAAACACAAGTCTAAAATATGTAAGCTGTTTGCCTTGTGACAACGTGATCCACCTTAGAGATCGGCTGGAATTTACAACGACAATAAAATATTTGTACAACGACAGGAAGAAGGAGGTAATATGGAGATACCCACCTTAAGCTCACTGACAACAGCAATTAAAATAGAATGCTTCCGTTTGAGAATCTTCTATGGTCAGTTGGGTTTTTCCAGATGTTGAGGAGGGATGAATTAGCATTCACGAGATGCATTGCTAGTAGGAGTAGATGTAAGAAAAGACCTGAATCCGCGGCTGTCTTATTCTGGCTCAGGTAGCGTGGCAGAGAAGGTTAGTAGGCACCGAAGTCGCTCGTAGAAAGCAGGAGGCTTTCCATGTACAAACAAGATAGTGAATAAAGACCATACTCGAATCCACCAGTGAACCGAAGACACAGATATGTCCATACGGACGAGTTATCTGACTCTTGCACAGCAGCTGAGTACGTGACGCTCTCAGATAGTAAACCGAGCCGTGTAAATAGGCACTCCTCAGTACCGCTTCGTTCCTAGGTACGAGCATGAAAGCTATAGATATTCCGAAAGCTTGCACGCTAATGAGTATCAGTGGAATCGTAGTGCACTTTGGAATTCCAATGGACTCCAGATTATGCACGAAGCTATTTTTGAAGGCAAGGATATACTGCATAATGACCGAAAGTATGGATGAGAAATTCAAAAAGACTGGGACCCCTAGCATCTTAATGATAGTATATTCCAGACATATTCGCTAGAAAAGGTAACGCTCTCAGCCTAGCCTGGACTAAAGATGTAGGCTGAGGCCTAAGCATGCTGCTTGTGGCTAGGAGAATAAGACTTAGCCAGAATGACTTGAAAGGACGTCTCTACTGCCGCGCTCTCCTAAGCATCAGACTGCGGTGAAGGAGACGTTTCGGTGACAGTTTAACGTAGCTATCGGCATAAATAGACCAGCGCTCCAGCTGAAGATACATGTAGTATAAGGACAACAGGGGCCCGCAGTGTCAGAATTTCGGACAACTACACGTGGAAAGGAAGGCGGATCAATCTGGAACACAGACAGGACAAGTTTCTCGTTCCTGACATTGTCCTGTGCAGCAGGAGGAAGAAAATGGCTCTGTTCGTTCAAAAAAGCTGCGCAGGGCGCAGAAATAAGTGCAAATTTGCTGTACGGCACAGCGAAATTAGCCGCGAAATTGCAGCAGAAATTGACCAATCAAAACGCAGGCATTTCGCGTAGAAAATGCAACTAATAAGCGCTCCTGCCATTCAACATTTCCAAATGTAAGAGATGGCAAAATCGTATGTGGGGACCTCGTGAAGTGTGTCTTCCGGTGTGGAGCAATAATTGATCCGCAGGATAAGCGAGTTTATTCGAATCTTGTAAGATTATGTTTTCCAGAAGTTCCTAGAATCGTGTATTCGAGAGGACAGAAGCTTATCCCACGCGCCGGTGGTGAATTTGCTTCCTTTTAGCGTGCCAAGAATTTTGGGTCTTGGCATGACTTTTTTCCAATTTGGAGGATCAACGCCATCAAGGCCAACTTCTACATGGAATTACGCAGGTCACAACGCCAGCGAAAGCCTAAAACTATATGGGAAGAAAAGGGTGCTCCTTCTGCAGCTAGAGACCCCAAAATCACCAATAGAACTGACCGAACAGAGCAGAAAACGGCGCTCAAACCTGTTGCCAGTGGACCTCTTCTGAAAACGCTTGAAATTGACGCTATTCGACTCCCTGATCTCCCTGCTTATGAACCGCCATTGAAATTACGATTTGAGCGTTCAAATTCGCTTCTACAAGGTCTCTCACAGCTTAATACGTTCCAAAAACTCCTTACGCCCTCTATTATTGACAGAATCGTTGAATCAACGAACAGCTATGCACAAAACGCTCGAAATACGGATTTTGAAGAAGAAGAAGATCCTGAATCCTTTTTCAGACCCTGGAAACCAGTTAATATAATTGACATTTGGCGATATATCGGCTGTTTGCTTTATATAGGATATCATAGGTTATCCAAACACGAAGAACATTAGAGCAAGTCTGGCTATTTAGGTTAATGTTTAAGCCTAGTAAGATATAAGCAGATTCATTAATATTTTACACTTTAAGATTATACAACTGCTCCTTGTTAAAGAGCATAAGACGTTTATTTGGCAAGTAGAGCTAATTAGGTTTATAGTTAAGCAAAATTATAAGGAGAATTAGTATCCAAGCTCTTATTTAGCTATTAATAAGGCTATAATAGCCTATAGAGACTGTAGTACTCATAAGGTTAAGCTCCTGAATAAGCTAATTAAGGAGGGCTATAAGGTGTAAGTACTCAGCGACGCTAGATATGTCTACAATTAGTTATAGTATAGCTATATCAAAGGACTAGAGGATATCTCTTAAAAGAGCATCAAATTCGATCAAGTTATCAAAAAAGAGCTTACAGAGCTTACCACAGTACATCTAGCATTAATGTTTGCCCTTGTTATTTGCCTTGCATAGCGTTTGCGTCAAATTTATTTAACGCACATTTTTTGCTTCTTTTTGGATAATCTCTTTCTGAATGTTAACGTTGCTTAATTACTACTTGCTCTTTATATTTGCTATATAGGCATTACTTGCAAAAACGCTTAAGGAGTCCTTATATAGATTCTATAGCTAAAGAAGCATAACTATAGTCTTGTTTAGAATTCTATGCTTACAAAAGTTATTAATAACACGCTTATTTTTCTATAATAAGATAATAATATTATTATAGGCTGCATAACTATTTATAATCTTTAAAATAATATAGTTTTATAACTTTAAAGGCGACCCTCTTTTATATTAACAAATATATAAATTGTACGTCTTATATTTAGTAACTTACCCTTTAAATAGCTTTATATTCTCTGCGTTATTAACAACTATAATTACTATATAAATGGCGTTAATAAAAGCAATTAATTACGAAAGAACTTCACCGCTTATAGGCCTTACAAACGCCACATTTGGCGCCCTTTATAGTACTATATACTTAATATTTGCGCGGTTAACAGCTATCTTATTTAGAAGAGGGATATAGTCTCTGAGGGTATCAACCTGCTCTAGAGCTGAGTAGGTCTCTGCATTCAGCTTATATCTCTTATTCTGCAGCTTGAAGAGTGCTTAAACAGGCTGGTTTTCCACTTGATCAAAAGAGTTATTATAATCTTCGTCATCAAAAGCTCTCTGCAGAGAAAGATGAGTTTGCTGGCCTTGTTGTTGCTCTTAAGGACGCTGGTTTCGTTTTCGAATGCCGTATAGAGGAGGAAATTGATCAAGAAAGTGGCAACGTCGTTGATACTCAGTTACAACAAATATAGTTCGCTCATCCTGATCAAATTCGATACGCTCAACGCTTTATAGCAGATTGGACTCTCTTCGTCGACGATACGTTCAATACGAATGCTCAGAATCTAGTTCTCCTTGTTATGGCTGATATAACTAACTGTAACAGGACTTTCGTTGCTGCTCTCTTATTCGCCCGTTCAGAGTCGAAAATGTTATTCGATTTTATCTTTTCGAGCCTTAAATAATGCATTTTCTATCTACTAATTCCTCTACCCTGTTTAGTACTTAGTAATCAAGCAGCTAGTATGACAGCGTCGCTTCTTAAAGCACTTTCTGACGTAATTCTATAATACTGTGACTGGCACGCTGTAGAGAATATTATAAAGCGCCTTGCGGATTCTGGCTACAAGAAGGAGGCTCGACAGGAGTTAAGAGATACTCTATGGCGTTTTGTTAAGAGCAAAACGCAGGATGAGCTTATTGAGCGACGGCTAGAGCTACATTCAAAGCTCCAGCCTACCGAAATCAAGTATCTAAATGAATACTAGGGTCCTTAAGAAACGCGCTTTCTACGTATATATATGCGTACGTATCCGAATTTGGGCAGTCACTCAAACCAACGTTCTGAGAGCATTTATCCTGTTACTACAAAGATCCTTAACAAGAATCTAGGTATGGAGGAGGCTGTACGTCGCTTAGGAGAGACTGTCAAGGCCAATTTTCGAGAGTTGAATGAGATAGCGGCTTTTACTGGGAGCAAGCTACCTTGAACGCTTGATTTACAAGCATTTTCGTGGCTTGTAGATATAGTTACATTTTAAGCTATTCAACAACTATCTTCTGAGTAGGAAGCTACAAAGTTGGGATGTCAAGATAGCTTATTGCAAGCTGAATTAGCTCCTTGCATTAGCTGTGAACTATTACTTTGATTCGGCCTTCCTTGCAAGCACTATCTTCGTCAGGCCTGTCTTAATAGCTCACCAATACCACGCTCTTTACTTTATCCATGTTAGTGGTTACAAGGTGAACCAATTTAAGTTGCTAATTAGACGTCATTCTACCAAGTTATGAGCCTACCTTTGTCTCCTCGAAATTTGGCCTCTCAGAACCCTTATTTATCCCCTGAGAGAAATAGGATGACAGAACTTGGTCTACAAGTCATACAGGCGCGAGATAATCTTACAGGGTACGCTTGTCAACAATACGAAATTGTAGCTGCTTAAACGCAACAAGGGCTTGTTGAATTCGCTTAGAGCTTCGCGTTGATGACCTCTACGTTTGAATGCTAGATATTGTCAAGAGGCCTGGGTGGAATAGGCAGTTTAAGAGTCATAATAAGGTCAATAAGCGGCTTATGACAGGAGCTGAGGCAGCAGAACAGGACGCCAATGATAGAGAGAGCAGGCCACTGCTCGAGAAGCACGCCAGCAGGCTAATATAGCCCTCACAGCATCGTCTATAGCAGGGCTAATACCCCTCGCAGGGTCTCCTCCGCCTCCTCCTCCTCCTCCTCCTCCTTCTATAGCCTATTTTGACGTGGAGAGAGTCCCTGATACCCCTCCTCGTGGATCTCCTACTGGGGCCCCCGACGCTGCCGCCCTCAACGCCGCCACCAGCACATCGGTTCGTCAGTCCTTCCTAACTCCTGACAAAGAAGAAGAAAAAGAGGAAGAAGAAGCTATAGATGAGGCTTTTATACTCCCTCCCTCAACAGCGCCAGCAGCAATGATGCAAGCAATGACGCAATCAAGAGCTGGCCGCAAGAGGGCCCCCACAATGAAGGCATTAGAGGCTGAAAAGGTGCCAAAACGGGGTACAGGGCAGGGCAGGGGTAGGGGTAAGGGCAGAGCAGGCAGAGGGGCCCAGGGATAGAGCTATCTCTGCAACACCACGTTTTCTATTTCCATTTCCTAATTGGGAAGTAACTTCAACGTCAATATCAATGCAGATTTTGTACAGGAACGTCAATTCATTCAATTGGTTCTGATGAGCAAATTCACTAGTAATTTGTATGACGTAAAACCCGCCAAGACCCAAACGCCGAATGTACCGCTCGCCGAATGTACCGCTCTGAATGTACCTCCCCGAAGGCATTCCGCCTGATATCTGTCTTCGCGACTTAACCGTACACAGTTCACCGACAATCCTTGAATGATGGGAGGCTCCAAAACACATTCGGCCAAGGAACCATTTGAATTGGGGGTAAATGTTGCATGCAGCAACGGCACTGTAGTTCAGCGACCGCATTAAGGTGGCTGATTTACTCTGTAGTCTTTCATTAAGTAGAAGTTGGATGCCAACCCGCTTCTGGAAGATGGTTAGTCTAATCTGGTGGGGCGGGCTCTAAGGCCTCTTGCCACGAATTAGGGACTCCGGGCCAGATCTGGGCGAGGAAAGTCTGATTATGGTGGCTTGTACTACGGTAGGAGGCATAAATAATGTTAGTTCGCTCTAGTAATTTTGTCATTTAACACGTCTCTTACAGATACCCCTGCTGCACTTGTACGAATTCAACACGTTTAACGCGTTTAACGCGTTCAACGCATTCAGCCTCTTTTTACTATTATTCTATCTTTTTCTACATGATTGGCCAAATTTTGATATATTTTTAGATTCTATAGACTTTATCAGGCTATCTCCTTCTAAAGCTACTTGAATCAATGCTAGTAAGGTGCCAGGCAGTCATTGATGCTAACAGAATGCACACTTGATTCTGAGCGGAATAGACTAGTCCTCATCAGGCGAATGTGTGGCGTTCTATCTTGGCATTTACAAGTTGCTACTAGAGCGAAGGTTCATTATTTATGCCTCCTACCGTAGTAGAGGCCCGACGTCTTAGAGCAACAGCCTAGCGCGTAGTGGCAAGAAACGCATGCGGGTCCATCGTGATGGCGCTGCCAAGCCCCAGCTGTCCTAACGAGAGAACGAGCGAAGGCCGAAGGCAAAGGGATGAAGACGACAGCAGTGCAGCTGGGACCAAGACAACAGGCCTGAAGGCAACAGGGCATGGGCGGATGCGCCAGAATTACCAGGGCGACTCAAGGGCGAAGAAGGGGGCAGTGTAGAAATCCGCATGAGTGCAAAGATAGTGTTGAACTCAAAAATACAGTTTGCGCTGTTTTGCTACGTGTGTCACCAGCGTTTTGTTACAGAATTGATACGCGTTTTGCATCAGCCACGCATGTATTTTTGGTATCTGCGTTTCGCGCTATTTCGCTTGATAGCAACTTTGTACGTATAAATGCGCGCTCCTCGCACTGAATTAGATAGAACAACTTGCTATTTCCACACTGATCCGTCGATTAGTCAGCACAGTCCATCACATAGGCACACTTAGGGTGTGCATCATGTCCTAGTATATGATAGATAGACTGTCCTACAGTTCAGGCTGGTACGCTACATACCATCCTACAAGACCATACTGGTCTTTTTGCATATAACTTCCCTTAGCTCATTCCAGTATCAACCCCCCCTTCCCTCCCCCCGGCAAAACGCTCCAGCTTCTTTAGGCCAACCAGTCAAAGAGTCCCTACACAACATAAGACAGACGAGAGCGATCCCACCCAGAAGATTCTATAGTTTTTATTGAAAACAGTATTTTAGGATGTCTAGATAACAGTTAATTGGCCGGATGTACAGATGGATAAAGGCCAGCCACCAACAGATAAAAACAAATAGCTAACGGGGGAGCAAGGGAAAAATATCAAAATTGTCAAGAAATGAAAACGCTCGCGAGGTGGGATGTTGTCAGGTTGACCATGTGAGAATAAGTTGTATCACGTCCTCTCTGGGGTAGAGAAAAGCTGCTATTGATCTACCCTTTCTGTGGTGGAGGATATGGGGAGAAACTGTCAGAAGCAAATGCTAGCGGTGGGGCCTTATCTGATGAACGATTGTCCGGAAATTGCACAAGTTTCTTTTTCTTTTGTGGTCGCCGTCGCTTTCATACTCTTCAGATAGCAGTACCAACGTCAATGAGCTTCCATTTTCTGACAGAAACACAGGCAGTATCGACGGAGATATGTCCCAGTCCTTCATTGTCCTCATTGACGTCGGCAGCCAGGACGTGTAGAGTGATGGCAACAGTATTACCGACATGACAATCGCCTCACAACAGGAGGAGGAGCGTGCATGAGGTGTGAACACTCAATAATAATGCTGCTCGGTTAACCCTTCCTATGACGTAGGATAATTATGGCCAGGGTAATCAGAAGCGAGCAAAGCAAACCATGTTCACTTCTAAGGCACAATCTTCTCCTCCACCTCCTCATAACAACGGTCGATCATCATCCATCATCCATTGATGGCAGCAGCATAATTTGCTGATCTCGTGTTGACTCAAGAAAAAGTTCTCCGCAGCATAAGAGCTGAAGTGGGTTTGTTTTTATCAAAGAAAATCATCAATATCACTCGTTGCCCGCGGCCATACACAAAGTAATCAGCCATCGTTGTGAAGGCCTGACAAAATGGGTGACTATGGCTCTGAAAATCTTGCCTGTGGCTCTAAAGAGGCTTCACCGTCGCTCACGATTCACGCCCCTGAAGCACATGTCTCCCCACTAATCTCACCGGACGTCGAAAGTTACACCCATACAACCTTTCTAGACGAGCAGAACGGAATCCTGAATCAATCAAGTCACTATCCACGTGACCAAGCAGACAAAGCCCGTGCATATCTGAGAGCTCTTTGGTCTGACGGTCCTCGTTCATCTACTAAACCTGTCGAGTTCATAATACCCTATCTATCCTGGTCCGCGCTAAGAGATGATCCTGAGTTTACGCTGTTAGTTCTCTTTCCATAATTTCATGCTTAGTATATATTTTTTAACATTATCTATAGACAAAAACTCAAAATCTCATATGACTCCTTGAAATCAGTCTTCACTGTCTTTCCAATGGAGAGCATGAGACATGGTCATATCCTTGGATGGGTCAATCAACTTGCAACTTTCGCTCAACAGAACTTTGATACGTCGATTAGCCGAAGATTCAAAACCATTCAGAATATTGGAGTCAGGGATTTCAAAGGAAAATGGGACGGGTCATTCAGAAAACCAGACTTTGTTATTGCATGGAGAAAGGATAATGGTGGAATTGACATTCATACTATTGTCGAAGTTGGTGTCTCTCAGTCTCAGAACCAATTCCGCGAAGTTATGGAAATGTACTTTGAAGGACTACCTCAGATCTCCAGAGTCATCTTGATTGACATCATTGAGGCCCCTCAGTATGTACAGCCAAAGAATTTCGACATTGATGAACTCAAGAATCTTAACAGCACAGAGTTCCAAGTTGCTTCAAATCAGGGGCCAGTCTGGTACAAGGGCATCCAATGGGTAGGGCACAATACGATTTCCTGGGAGGTTTGGGAACGAGATCCAAAAATGGGATACCCAGTTCAGATCTTTAAAACAACCATTATTCCGAATGACAGCGGGTTCCAACTTCCATTCTTCGAAATACCCACTTGGATCGCTGATAACATCGAGGCTGTTACGGTTAAATCAGCAGATATCGATCATCTTTGGTCTAATGATTTAAGAGACGCAGTCATAGAGGAGGCAAAGTGGCGGATGGGAGGATATGTGAGCGAAAGAAGCAAGCAAGCAGATGAGACAGCAAATATCGCTAGGCAAGAGGAAGAAGCAGAAAAGAAGAAGCAGAAGGCTAATGAGGAACGCGCAAAGCGAGCTCGGCATCGGCGAGGAGATCAGGACAACTAAAAATTGCTTCAACCCTTTTCGGGCATCCATGATTGACGAGTTCTGTTTTTTGTTTCTTACAAAGACGAGCACGGTCCTTTTCACAGGAGGGTGTAGATAGCGGGGGGCTCTGCAGGAGTTGAAGTCCGGGTGTTTGTTGGGGAAGAAATTGTCTGTCAACACTGTGATTTTGTCTGGTGAGTCAGTCTCTATGATAGGTATCTGTCTCCTGGGCGTGTTCATACAACTTATGTCATCACTAAGGGCGTTGCCAAGGGCATTGAAATTCAACGCAACGAGAGGGTGATTGTCTTGCCTTGCGTTGACCTTGAAGCAAGCACAGATAAGATCCTCCAGAAAGTAATATCTTATGAAAAGTCAAGAAGCTGTATTACTCCGTTTTGTTATACTTTAAACTGTAATACTGCAAGTTGTAATAGGCTAAATTATAGTATTACAATTATAACTAGGCTGCTACATAGGCCGGGTTAGGCCGGGTTAGGCCGGGTTTTAAGGGGGTCGGGCCCAACCTGCCCAGGGTCGAGCTAAAAAATTAGAGGTCTTAACCCGAGCCGGGTTTTTTTAGCGGGTTCTTGGCTATTTCTTGATATATTAATACGTATTTTAAGTGTTAGGACTCAACAGATCAAGACGAGCCTTGAGTATGATCAAGTCCAAAGAGATTGATTTGGTAGAGCAGAAAGTGCAGATTATTACAGCATCTACCCGAGATAGGGAGGTTGCCCGAGCCCCGCAGCCTGGAAGCTAGGCGCACGGCTAAGACACTAGGACCAGACGCCAGGGTAGTGCTCACGGACAGCCAAGACTAAGCATACTGTGCATTGCGAAAGTGTTGCAATTCCTTGGCGCTACCCTCGAATTGCTGGCGCCGCGGGGCAGAATTGCGGTGAGATGTAGGAATAGCTCCCTAGGGCCGTAGAACGCGTAGAAATTGCTTGAAATTGCTCATAGACCTCGCTGACGCCCTTCTCTTGCCCTATCTCAACTGCTGGCCCTTGGTGTTGAGTTCGCGATGAGCAAACTGCGCTTTTCGAAGTCGACCGTCGACGAAATGGCCCTTTTGCTTGCTACAGGCGTAGAACCACGAGAAATAGCTTATAGATTTCGATGCCACGCTTCAACTGTGGGCCGAATCCGGCAGAATATTGATACGTTCGGAGAGCCACGGCCAGCGCCTCAAGCGAAGATGGGTAGGCCGCAAAAAATCACTCCAGAGGCGCTTGAGGGCCTCCTTGATTGGCTTCTGGATAACGGCTCAGAGAAGAAGCTCTCGTATCTAGACGAAATGGTAGCGTTTCTAGATAAGGAGTATGATATAGAAGTATCGAAATCAACTGTCTGTTGAACGCTGGCAAAGGAGAAGATCACCCAGAAAGCTGTTAGTATTATATCATTCTAATTCGCACAAATTCGGACTTACTTTGTAGATTAAGCGTCAAGCTGCTAAGCGAGATGAAGACTTGCAAGACTACTATAGAGCTCAGATATGTGAAGTTTGTGCTAAGGAGGCTATATTTATTAATAAATCAGTTATGCATAAGCGTATAAAAGACTATAAAAGAGGTTAGTCTTTATGCGGCGTACTATGCAAAGTAACAGTACTAAATAGGCGCTTAAGGAGATAAAGCATCTTGCCAGCTATAGAGATTAATGGCTATCTTGACTATAAGATATACTACAGCAGCTTTAACTATGAGAGATTTAACATATTTATTCAAAGATTATTAATAAAGATAAATCTGTACCCTAAGCCACAGTTAGTACTAATTATAAATAATTATAGCGCTTATTATAGTTAAGTAAGCTCTTAACATTATATCTATTATTAATACTGATATTTATATATAAGAGCTAAGAGATATATGCTAAGAAGCAGGCGTTTAATTAATATATTTATCTTCTTATTCTCCTGACTTCAACTTTATCGAATTCTCATTTTTTCTGTTAAAAGCATAGATGAGACAGAATAAAGAGCTTACAGGGTAGTTTTCTAACTAGTATAAGGGCTTTTTTTATCTTACTGTGCAGCTCTGTAATATTAAAAAATATATAAAGAATTACTTTCGTTATTATTATTTTTGTGTTAATAAAACCATTATTAACATGCCTTATAATATGCTTAAGGCGCTATAAAGTTACAGAGAGATAATACAGATAAAGAGCTATTAATTAATAATATAAAAGTAGTAGTAGCTATTATAGTTAAGCTATAATTATTAAAAAGCAAACTATTATCTTAATAGAATTTATAGTATTAAGTTATAATATTCTGCTAAGCCTAAGTCTTAGCATAGATTTCTTATTTAAGTGAAATTTTAGAATTAAATTCTATAAGCTTATATATATATTAGTAACTTAAATATACTCTAATAATTAAATTTATGCGTGTTTCTATATAAAATAAATAACAATACATATAAACTTAATATACTACTTAACGTTTATATATACTCCTTAACGCTAACTATCCTTTATCTATAAGCTTAGAGCTCCTTGCCTCTGCTCTCCTCAGGTATATCAAGATCAAGCTCACTTAGAAGATGCTCCGCAACCTCGTTAACAGCCTCCGGATGCTGTAGATACCATATTTTGTCGTTTTTTAGCAAATCTATCTTGATACTAATATCGATATTAATATCCTTCTATTCTTTATTGCTCAAACTAGCCAAATCCGAAAAACCCACGCTAGCACTTATTAGCAGGTCTTGTGTATGGTTAAATGTAGCACAGCGTGCAGGCTGAGCACAGATTTAAGCCTGAATAAAGGCGAGTAGTCAGGCATCCTCATCTCTAGCCTGTAAGATAGGGCTACTTAGCAAGGGTAGTACTAACGCTGGCGCTATAGCAGATGGAACTAGGGTCTCTATATCTATATCTTAAGCCCTGTTATTTATGTTTTTGTAGATAAGAGTAGCCGGCAGAGGACCCCTTAAGAGATTAATATTGAGCGTCATCCCTTGGCTAGCTACTATCAACAAAGCTGTAATAGATATTAGAGGCTATAAAGTAATAGGAGGCTGTTAATTCTGCTCCTTCTGCTTCTTATAACCCTTAATTAACTAGGTTAGCACCCCTAGAGGAGGATAATAAATATTAATAGTAGGGTTATCCTTTATAACATCTCTTTACTTGCGAATATCAGCTATATTAAGCTTCAAATGGCTTATTCAAGAGAGATTATAGCAGTAATAGCCATTATTCAGATAGTTAGGTCGATTACACTTATGCTGATGACTAATCTCAATAGCTGGGTTTAGTATAGCAGCGTAGAAAGCCGCCTCAGCTGCTTGTTGACACATTGAAGTACTCTCTTGTGGCTTCTTTGATTTTGAAGCAGTTTTAGC